CACGCTCAACGAGGTTCATGTTGGACGCCCGAAGGCACCCAACTCCACCCCACCTTGCACGCTTTGTCGTCGTACCGACCATCCACCATCCTCAAGGCAGCCCAAGTTAGAAGGCAACATTCCATGCCCAACTAGTCTCATGTCGCATGCCCAAAGTCGTTTGACTCCGCCCCACCAAGCATGTTCTACCACCACGCAGCCTTCAAAACATAGGGCTGGCATGCCACAACGACGTCCCACACTCAACGAGGTTCATGCCGCACGCCCGAGGGCACCCAGCTCCACCCCACCTTGCATGTTTCATCATCGTACCATCAGCCATCCACAGTCCTCACACCAGAGATTCCCAGTTAGAAGGCAACATTGCAACGTCCCGCGCTCAACGAGGCTCATGTCGCACGCCCAAAGGCACCCGATTCCAACCAGCCGAACATGTCCTGGCACCACACGCCTTCAAAACATAGGGCTGCCCCAAGGATTGCCCGACGGCGTCACCACAACGTCGCACGCTCAACGAGGCTCATGTTGGACGCACGATTTTTCTGAGCCGTCATACGGTCGAATATCTCGAGTTTTACAATGTTTTTTTCCAGGAACTCGATTGATTCATGAATGGGACATTCTAATGGATCTATAAATCAAGTTTCATAATTTTTCAACCAACCAATTTTTTTTAATGAATTTTTAAATCTTAAATAATGAGAAATTAGAGAAAATAGCTAGAGTCGTCAAAAAAATCTGAAATTTTGTGGGAACCATGTTTTCATGTTTCTTAGCTCCCAGAAAAAAAATTACAACAAACCGACCACTCCACACGTACTTTCGCAATTAATGGGCGAGGGATGGGGAGCGGGCGCGGGAGCGCGCACAGCAGAACGCGGGAGGGGCGGGGACGGGGCGCGCGGGAGAACGCTGGCGGGGGGAGAGCGCGCGCGGGCGGGGCGGGGAGGGAGGGGAGGGGAGGGGAGGGCGCGCGCGCGCGCGAGAGGGAGCACGCTGGCGGGGAGGGGGGCGCGCGCGCGCGGAAGCACGCTGGCGGGGCGGGGCGGGAAGGGGCGCGCGCGCGGGAGAACATGGGCGGGGCGGGGCTGGAGAGAGCGCGCGCGGGGGCAAGCGGGCGGGACGCACGCGAGTGGGGCAGGGCGGGGCTGGCCAGAGCGCGGGAACGTTCGGACACTGCCCCACCGTGCGCGTTCCGCCACCGCACCACCGCCGTCAACCGCCCTCGACCTCCGACCACCACCTCGACGACCCAAGCATATGCCCATGTGCGGCGCATAGTGCTTGGGGCGTGGGGGTGGCGGAGGATATAGGGGGAGCCCCCGTGGCCAGCCCATGCAGACTAGTCACCCCCCTATATAGTACATTTTGAGGCATTTTTGGTCTGCCAGGCCCAGACACGATTTTTCCGAGCCGTCATACGGTCGAATATCTCGAGTTTTACCATGTTTTTTTCCGGGAACTCGATTGATTCACGAATGGGACATTCTCATGGGTCTATAAATCAAGTTTCATGACTTTTCAACCGACC